CCATGTTGGATCGCTGCTTGTGAGGAATGCACCCAGAATCCTTTGCACACAGTCTCCTCGTGAGCGCTTTGTTTTTGAAAATTCCCCCGGGGTTTCCCGGGGGTATTTTAGGTCAGGCAAATTTGAGGTAAAGTCCCTGGGGGTCTGGGCATAAAATCATCGCAAAGCTGCAGTAATTCCCCCGCTATTGCCCGACAAAGTCCCCGAATGTCGCGGGGGTGGGGGGGCGGAGGAAACAAATGACTAGTGCATTAGCAAGTTCTGCTGCTGATTCTTTCATAACACTTTCTGTTATTTCCCAGCGCATTTCATGCTACTCTAACAGCGACCTACTCGACAATGTGGCCTGCGTAGTATCCCGATTTTCATTTGTTGGGAAAGAGATTAAAAACCGCCATTTAATAGAGAGCTGTCATACACCTCTAAAATGCCAGCTTTTCAATAACCTTTAAACATTTCTCTTAATATCAGTTATTACACCATTTCATTGATGTCACAATCTATTTCACGAAGCTGAGCAGATTGTTCGATAACAAAGAATAAAAAAGTTTATACATTGATCGAGCTCACACTTGAATATATATGGCTAATATAATAAACATTTTGCTATTTGTATAGCCAAATACACAGTGTCTCTCAGCATGCAAAAAAAGCTATATTATTTTTTGACTTATCGATCGGCAGCTTTTTTTCGGCTTATCTTCATACCTGAAGGCCTGTGCATGCGCATTACGTCGTTTTTCTGCAATAGATATTAATAAATCAATAACTGTTTAATAAATGTATAATTACTTAAAATGTCGAGAGCTCTGTTACTTTCCCAACACAGCTTTCTCTAGACAACAAATTTCAATTAAAAGGAAACCAAATAATGTAAGTATTGCCAAATTATCAAGTTATTGAACACTAGAGCGGTTTTCACTTGACTGTCGAAAGTAATTGAGGAATTGGTTTGGTTTTGGTTTTGGTTCGTCTTTCTGATTGGCTCTTTAAAATAGCTCTACCAATCAGCGAGGAGGCATTGTTTTCTCAGCCAATCAAATTCGCAAGTAAACGCAAATCGTGTTTTGGTTTTGGTTTTACTCAAGTTTCACTCACGCAATTTCTTCAATACAACAGTGCCTCGCTGAACGTAGTCTCTCATTGGCTAAACAGGTAGACGCCGTAGCAAGCGTAGCAAAGCATTTCATTGGTTCGAATACAATTACACTACCGTCATCAATTGTAAGTCGCCGCATATGCTCACTACAAGCCCCGATACCTCACACTCACGCACGCGTGACATTTCTGGGCGGAAGTGTGTAAGTCTTCAATCTGGATGATTTATGGTTGCTCTTGTGTTGTGTAAAAAGTAAGTGTTCTAAATATGCTTATGAGTTTGTGTCTCTGTGTCATCTTGGCCTCGAAGATCTCGTACAAAGTAGTCATTGCGGCTAGAAGATGTGTATTAAGATGCGTATTAAAATTGCTCATAGTCCGTTGAAATGACCACCGATAAATGAAAACATCCGATTTACTTGACCTTTATAAATTGAAGTTAACTGATAAGGAACTAGGAGTAATTGGTAATTAAGAGAGTCCATTCGACATTCTTGTTGCGAGTGAAAGGTTTATTTTAGAGCTTTGGCCATATGTGCATCACTCGTCGGTGGGAATTTTGTGCGGATGTGAAAAATATCCTGATAACAGTACTGACTCGACTTTTGTGAAAATTTTTGTTGGATTATATCTTCGCTGCATTGTAGGTGATGTCTGCTGTAAAGGAGAAATGGACTGCCAGAGGGACTGGCAAATGTCCTCGTTGTAGTGCCACATACTCAACTTTTCGGAAACCTCCGAATTGTGACCAGTGCAACTTTTTCCTTGGTGGGAGGTACGTTTCTGAAACTGTCAGCCGCAAAAGGAGAAAACTGGACAATCCAAGTGCAGTGAAAGTATGTACATTTGGTGGAAACAACCTATATTCCATGAAAGTCACCAGTAGGGATGACCGTTGTTTTTGTCTGACACCAGTAGACTCTGTTATTACAGCTCATGCAAGAGCTTTCGTTCAGTTACAGCAGCATCTGGTCAGGAGGAGATGAACAAATTCTCATGTAAACATCTTGATGAAGTAAAAAATGCAGTAGGTGCAGTCAAAGAATACCATTTATCTCCCCAGCAAGTTTCTGAATATCCAGGGGGTAGTGATGTCCATGGGAAAATGCTTGATGCAGTCAATCATGCCAAGGTGCTTGGTGTCCCTCAAGTCATCAGAGTATCCGAAACCAGCTATGCTGTTTGTGGCATGCCGGACACCTTTGCTGAAAATGGCATTGTCCATTTGAAGCAAGTGAATGGCACATTCTCATGTGTGGTGAAGAACTGCCGGACTATTACTGGTGGTAAACAACTGAAGTCCCGCTATGTGTGTCTCCACATTCATTTGTTGTCATGTTGTCTTGGCTTGTGGAAATCGTCACCACTACCCACCACTGCTACATGTACTGTTACTGTCAACTCCCCTGTTTCAAGCTCCACTACTGCTCTTCCTTCTGCTGCATCAAGTTCCAACCCACCAATTCCTGTCTCTTCAAACTTAACTGCATCTATTTCTCCCTTATCAAGTTCCACTCCACCCAACATTGCTGTGTCAAGCTCTACTATACCCACCTGTGGTGCTTCGAACATTATTCCAATTGACTCTGCTTCGTCAAGCTATTCTACTGCAGCCACCTCCAGTACCAGTAACTCAGGCTCCTCTCCCTCTGAACGTAACTCTACTGGCTCAACTTCAGCAACCTCTTCTGTCACAAGGACCTCTACTGTAAAGTTAAATTTGGCCAGCTGGTATCCATACCATATCCCACTTAATATTATAAATGCTGCCCGTGATTGTGATTGCAATACTTGGAAAGGAACAGGTGGTGGATGGCCCAAGGAGTTTATTCCCCAAGACCAAAATTGTCATTTGTGTGGCACTCACCTACGTCCACCAAGATGCCATCCAGGATCACAGGGGAAAGGATTGTTAATAGCAAACATGAATCCTTTTCTTGAAGTGAACATCAAAGTCAAGATGTGTGAAAGGGTTGATTGCCAAGCAATGCACCAGCCCCAAGTTTATGATCTCGGTAAAGTTACATGTAGCTCCATCCTTGAATACCTATTTACATCATACATGTATATCTTGTATATGCATGTAAAATCAGTCTCTCAACATTTCAGAAATGATCGAAGCACATATTTTATACCGAAGGTTTAAATCTATAATTTTAACCAGTTTTTTCAGTGTTCTTATGGTACATTTGCATGATCATCAGCTGGCAGTGTCCTACATCCACGCATGTAAATGTCCATAAATTTTCTGTATGCCTGTATGAATTGAAGCAACGAAACTGTCACTGTATCAGCAAAACTGGTTGTCTCTGTCTGGAACTATTTTAATTATACATTTCACTGTTGTTAAATGTTGGTTTTTTTTTCTTATCTTTGTTTTATATATATCTAAATACAGAACTCTTTAATGCTGGAGACAAAGTTCTCATATCTCTGGAAATCTTTTTAGAGTGGCGAGAATTATTCAAAAAAGGTGTACCCCTCTCAATGATTATTGAGTGCAAAATGAAGTCATTGCTGCGTACAGTTCCTAAGGTTTGTAATACATCTTCATTTTCGAAAAAATGTCTGTAAATGTTAATATATTAATGAAGCAGCTACATGTATGTTAGTTAACTTTATTTGCAGTCAGAAAAATTTATTAGAAATAAACGCGATTCCCTGAATGGTCCCCTTTAATTTTTATTCTTGCAGGATCGCACACCTAATCCAAACACAGTTGACTACATTTGTGATGTAATGTACAATGCATTCTACAGTTTTGAAGCCTTGACCCGAAGAAACGTGGATGATGTTGTATGTGGGTTGTGTGGAACTGTTGGAGAAGTTTATTATGGCGATGGCAACTCAAAAAACTGCTGTACTGTTAAGGGGGTCAGTAGAAATATAATTATGTTCAATTTGATTTTCCCTCAATACGTCTCACATATTTTTCTCATTCTAACTGTCATTGATATTATTTATTTATTATTGTTTTAGGTCAACACTGTTCCACTTATTTCTGTTTTATTCATTACGCCAATTAATTGAGTTGGCACTAGTTTAAAGTACCGGATCAGTGTTGTGTTTGATTTCTGGAAGACTGACCTGAATTTTGCTTTGTTGCGTTCATTGAGCACGCTTCAATATTTTATCTTCGTTGTTGTCAGAAACAAAGTGCAAACCCGTCCAAAAAAATACAGGGGAATGGTTTACTACTTAATTGAAAAGCACATGCAAAAATTCAGGCACTTCTGAAGGAAAAAAAGTAACCCAAAAACGTCACTTAGCAATACGTCCCTCTTGCACCAAGCCATTCAATTGTTCTTCTTCTTTGATACTGGCACCATACAGATTGACTATAGTCAACAGGAAACAGCACAGTTGCCAACTTTAGAAGATTTTGTACACAGGATTACATCCCATTTTGTTGAAACAACAACTTACACCAAAGCAGATGGCAAGCTATCAGCCAACATTGGAGAAGTGCCACCATTAATTCCACCATGTCAACGTGCGAATAAAGTATTGAATACCGAAGCCAGTAAAAACAGTGTATACTTAACAAAGAAGGAAAAACTTAATGATGTAGAAGGTAACAATTTATTTTCTTGCATGCATTACTTTCCTCCTATACGTCTATATATACGTTTGTATCAATCCAAATTATACCTAGGTTCTATGGCTCACTTTTAGATAAATAAAATGTTATCTTATAACAAAAACATAAACTTGATCCAGGTATGTTTTGTGGAACTTTTGCAAAATCTGAGTTGACCCAAAATGTTTTGTGGAACAAACTGTTATGTTATTTGATTTCATAATTTAATTCATATGCATCTTGCCCAGGCAACTGTTCTAATGAAACATATTTAAATTCAGCATTCCCCAACTAGTTTATTTCATAAGTATTCTATAAATTCTCTCAAGGTTTATCTTGATCTTGACTGTATATTAATTAATTAATCAATTAGTAGTTAATATAATGGCTGTCATGTATTTATATCAACAGTCAATTAATCTTTTTTTTAGGTGATCCTACAATGCTGCACCTCCTTTTGCAGCAAAAAAAATTCCTTGTTGAAGAGATAAAAAATTTATCTGTGGAAAAACTCAAACAAGTTTGTGAAGAATGCTCAATATCGACTAAACAGAGATCAGCTGTAAGTTTTAATTACTGGAATTCCATGTATTTTTATTGTACTAAATAAATTGAAAATCAAGAGTGACTTGCCAAAGCAAAAGCATGCAAACTGTACTGACAAAATAACTTATACTTCCTTAGTGAGACCCCTGTTATCAAGATGATCTCTTAAGACAGATAGTAGGGGGAGTGTAGGGACGACAAATTCACACTAAAAATACCAAAAAATAAAATAACAGCTACATCAATGATTCCCAAAAAACACACATCACTAACATCGTTGTGTGACAAAGTATAATTAACTTTTTTTTCTATTTTATTTGATGTAGGATTTTTTGCGAGGCAGGCTGCTTGCTCTTTATGCAAGTATCACTGTTGGAAACTCTCCATGCCATAAGTTCACCCATGTCGAAGGTCACTCAGGTGGCTTTTATCACATTGTTTGTCCTCATTCTGTGAGTGTACACAATTTTGTTTCCTTATTTAAATTTCTTATAAGTTAACTCTTGTAAAGTAACAGTTCGGTCCATGATTTTCCAAAGTTAACATTTTGCACTTTGTTTGCTTAGAACAAAATTTGATTAACTTACTTAAAAATCAAAAAGAGAATATTCCGATTTTTTTTAAACTACTGAAAAAGTCAATTTTAGAAGTAAGACCTACAGTTGAAGATGTATTAACACCATGGAATGATTAAAGTAAAAAATATCGTTTTTTTCAAAAATGTGACTTGGTATTAATTTCATCATGTTCTCACTGCTGCATACATTGTAACATTATCACTTGTGAAAACTTATAAGGGGCCTTATAGGGGGCAACCATTTTTCTGGAGGGGGGGATTTTGAAAAAAAATTCCTGCAAGTGCTTTTTGGAAGAAAAAAATGCATGCAGCACAAATATAAACAGTAATCCTTCAGAGCACTGAGAATGGAAAATTATCCCACACTTCCTTACCCAGCAGGTAAGGTGACCAGATATCATCCACTACCCACCCCCATCAAGAGTTAATTGTTCAGCCCCTCAAGATTTCCTTTTTCTGTTATTACTTATATGTTAAGATGTGTCACTTATACTATTGCTTTATAGTTGTTCATTCCTACAATGTGATTTTAATTTTAAATTTTTGTTTGCAGTGTACTGTTGCATCAAAATTCCTTCTTCTGCAAGAATCTGTCCGTGACGCTGCTGACTTGTACCTCAGCCTGAAATACCCCCCTCCTCTTTTAATCTGTGATACACCTTGTACTCTGGCACGTCACATTGATCAGAGGTGTCCGGATGTTGCAGAACAACTTTGGGGTGACAATGTGGGGTGCTTTCAGAAGCCAGTAATAGGGAAGTCACCTATTAAAGTGAGTGCACTAGTTGATAATGTATACCCAATCCACCATTTAGTGAATTATTATTTTGAGCATGCGTATTGTAGTCTAGCTTTTCAAAACAGATTGAGCACAGCCATGTAGTTACATAAATTTACAGGTAATGGGTTAAAACTGGAGTTGTATAATCCATCTTCTGTCCTTTTAGTGCAGCTGATCATTTTTTAAATCACACCAGGGACTAAATACAAACCATTCTTCAAGTTTTGTAAACAAACAGTACATTGTAGCTGATGAATTTACATTGCTACATGCAAGTTTGTCTGTGGTGAGATTCTTTGTCCCATCCAGACTAAATATAATGATTATTTCACACTAGCCAACCCATATAATGCAGTGTAAATCTGTTGAATGAGTGTATGTCATGCATGACCATGGATTGAGTCTCTCACAATGTCTTACTGAAAAAAGGCAATGTTCCAGGTGCAAAAGAGTTCTCTTGTCAACAAATATTGTGGGGAATAGACATGACATTTCATTATATAAAGGCTTTAAACAGATTGCAAGAAGCGGCCTACAAACAAATTGCAGAAAGTATGGAATATTTGTTGTTGTTGACTGCTGAGGGTACCTGCTTATTCATTATTGACAGCAAGAAAAAATGAACCCAGTCAAAACAAGCCTAAAGATTCCAGCTAAAAGCTATGATTTTGTTTTGAACCCTGGTAACATCAAGTTAATTTTTTCTTCCAGGTCAGTGTTCCAGAGTTAGTAAGCTCAACGTTTAAAACTAAGCTGGCACAGGTTGACCAAACATCCACATGGCAACATCCTACAACTGGCCAAAAGAGGAGGTATATTGCAGGTGATCGATTTCATGCTTCTGTAAACCCCCACAAGTCCGAGTTGTGTGCGTATCATGACATCAACCTGTTGGAACAAAGTAATGGCATCAGAACCAGCTACCAAGAGAGTTCCAATCATATCAAGAACAGACGCCTCCAGAGCTCAACTGTTCAAAGCTTTTTTGTACATTTCCTGTATAATTACCTGATGGACTATTATGGAAATGAACAAATTGGTCAGAAGCAGATTAATGATATTAAATCTATGTTGGGACCCAACCAGGTGATCACCAGGGATAAGTTTCATCGTTTTGTGATAACCAAGTTAGTTTCTTAATTCCCTAGCCTTTTGTTGGCCTTGTTCTGGGCTAGTGGTTTGTCCATGTGGAGTAGTGATTCACTGTACTTACTAGCCCTCTGCCTAGCAGTCAAAAACGTTAGTGTTAAGCACTGCTATATTGCCATGACATTATTCATTTAACTAGGATTGCCGGGCATACACTGTAGAATGGTGTTTCCTCGAGTTAGATGGCACATTTATGGTGGTTCATGTGAACCCAGTTCGCTTTTTAGTGATATGGAGGTGAGGACATAAGGGCTTTTTCAAGGTGGGGTCTATTCTGTGAGGGGATCATAATAGACCCCTACAGTCCTCTGGTTCATATTACTCAAGCTACATGTACTAGAAACTAGCTACAAAAAAATCCCAAGTTATCAAGTTGTAGTAAATTTCTTTTCCATGAAACTAATTAGTTTAGGGGCTAGTAGAGTAGGAGGTTGTTATCACTAGCCCACCATGGTTTTACTAGTCCTGGGCTAGTGGACTTGTGTTAGTGTCGGGCACTGGTAGAACGTTGATCCATATAGGAGGTGAACGCTTTATATCATGTTGAACAATTCTTGGGAGAAATTAGGTGATCCCAGATGTCATTGTGGGGCATGATGCAATGTGTTATAGTGAACAAAATCTCTTTTAGGAAAGGCCGGGTACAAGTCAGACATCACAGATAGTCATACTACAAGCTTTCACCATGCTGAGAATAAGCATATTACCTTCCTACTTTGCCTTCTTGCAGGATTCACCGCAGTACCTTGAGGAAAAAAGGATATATTATTAGGATAATTTTCAAAATCAATCTTTTTAAATATAAAGCTGTTTAATTGACATGCAGGTTGCATGCTGGTGAAAAGATAAACCTTGATGGTGTAGAAACTGATAAACATCTTGGTAACATGACAGTGAACGTGCCTTTTACTTACCACTTTTTCTCTCTGGGAAGTTCTCTCAATGCCAAGCATGACATGTGATAGTAACCTTTCCCTGGGCACTACAATGAAAGTATGCTCATCTCTTCTTAAGAGGAAAATGTACTGACAAACATATAATATGTATTTTATTTGTTATGGTTTTAATTTATCCTTGATTCATATTTTTTCCTTTGTGTCACAACTCATAATCATCTAACAAGAGTTTATTTTTCATGTGGAGAACGTGACTTTTATACGAGAAATGTCATTTGCTGACTACCTAATCATCAAAAGAGCGACAAAAAAAGTACACAGTCATTGAAATTTTTCTGAAGGGTGAGCTGGAATTCCATTTTTTTTAGTTATGCATATATCACCATATTATTTAAAAAAACTTGAACCAAGAATTAGATTGATTCCGGATATACGCATGAATCCAAATAATTTAAGGATTTCAGTGTTTTAGCCATGGATAGTTGCAATGAGCATTCTTTGAGCATCCTCATCTGGGGTACAGTCTAAACAATGATTTTTTCGAAACTTTGCCAATAGGAAAGCAGATTATTAAGGAAATGTTACAGTGTAAAATTGAATTCTGTTTAACAATTTGACAGAAAAAATTCACTAGTTTTATTGCTGGTCCAAGGGAGACCATCATTTAATAGCCTTCTGGCTTCTCGTGGGCTCCCTCGTCACTATTATTTAACAACTATTCACCCAAGTGGAGGTGGTTAGTGGTGGCTATTAACTGAGCTGCAAAGCGGCTACGGTAAATAGCCACCGCTAACCACCAACACTGAGATGGATAGTTGTTTTAGTATATACTAAAACAGTGAGATAATATACACCACAAAAAATTAATTTGGATCATTTCTTCACTTTTCACGGATGCAAACCGGGACGCCATTTTCTCTCGAATTGCCCGGAGGTAAATAGCACAGGATATTCGGAGTTTGACGTACCAATCAGCGCGCGCCTTCAACGCTATCCACTGTTTTAGTATTTACTAAATTCAGGTATTCTTTATGTGTATGAAAAATATGTAACTAAAATATGTTGGCAAATAAATGTGGACCTTGAATGTTACAATTTGTTTACTTGCTGAAATCGGATCTACCAAGAGACATTTTTGAAAACATTTCCAAATGAAAGTAATGTTTTCAGCTATCCTCTAGGGCTTTGAAAGCCAACCTTGTTGGTTGTCATTACTAACATGTTAGGCGCTAATTAACTCTCAATACCTGAGCTTTTTTCTTTGTTTCACATACTAGCATTTCGTTTTCTTCTTCTTGTGATCTTTGCTGTAAAAAATTGCTGCCTTTTAATTACCTTCAAAAAATTTCTACAAATCCCATGCTATTTGAATAATAGCTATGGCAGCCCGAAGGTCTGCGGTGTGGAGCCCATAAGTATTTATGATGGAAACTATTAGATAGAAACTCATGCATTTCATTTGTAAGGTCATAATGGTTAGTGGCAAGTACTTGCTGGTGCATGGGCCCATGAATGTACATAACTCCAACATCGCACGACATGGTGCCTGTTGCTCTCCCAATTAACCAAATGATTAATCTAGGTTGCATGTTTACCTTAATTGCCTTGGTTAACTTTTACATCGGATATCCATCGCACGGTCTATTGACAGCTGTCTATTGACAGCATCCGCACACCAGTAACATCTGACGATATCAAGTGTAGGTCCCATCAAGGTTGCATTATTTTGTTACAGTTTACAGCCAACCAGGTTGGGTTATTGACAAATTATTAGAACAAGAAAACAAGCCAAAAATTTGTAGCTTCTGTTTTAGGCTACGCTGCATATATATTCTGGTAAATACATGTATATATTCAAAGGGATTTCTTACCTTTTTACAAGTGCAGTATTTAGACCCATTGGTTCTCATTCTTGTTGTTTGGCCTGAAAGGCCATGAGAAGATCAAATCAATTAAAATTATGAAGGTAACAAAATCAATTGGTTGTAATGAGAACTAAGGGACCGTTCATTTTTTATGAAAGAGGGGGGGCTGGTGGGATTTGGGGGGGGGGCCACTCGAAAAAAATTGGCTTGAAAGGGGGGGCCACCCGAAAAAAAATGAAGGAAAGGGGGGGGGGGTCGGACGAAAAAATTAGATTAAAAATAGGATAAGAGATGTTTACAAATCGAAGAAAAATTGTGCTCTTTTATTTATAACAAATATGCTAAAACAGTTCCAGGGTAACAAGAAAACTTCTCAACAGCTTTTATATTTTATAAGGACAGTGAACATACCATAATAACAGTCTTGAATAGCAACAACT